TCTAAATTTTACAATATATAAAAGTCATATAATTATTATACATAAAATTTATCAATATATAAAATTTATATAAAAATATTAAGACATATAAAAGTTACTTAAATATAATACATGAATTTTATAAATATATAACGTTTATATAATCTTTTTTTATAAAATTATATTTATATAAGTTTAAATAAATTTTTATATAAATTCTATATTAAATAATATATAAAAATTAATATATATAATTTTAATATAGTACACTATATAATATCTTCATAAAGTTGTAGACCTATGTAGATTTTATAAAAAATGAACTTGCTGATGAGTCTGATCCAATATCTGAATACACATTCGTTTCATCGAATCGAATATCGGAATATGTTAGTATACATCAACTAAATAAAAGGCTTAACACGGATTAGATAATAAAATTTTAAAATTGCGAACATTCTATTACACTATTCTTTCGTTTCATTTTTTTTTAGATCAAAATCAGATTTTTATTATCGACATAAATTGCAATGAAATTCATATGATTATGTGCATAACTATTAAATTTAATTATCAAATTTATCCAACCAAACCTTATTTAAAAATTTAGCATAGTCTGAAAAAGTACTGGTTTCAGTTTGATAGAACTTATTACCTCTTGAAACTACCAGTAAATCTACAAATTGTATTAAAAATTCATGCAAGAACCTACCATCCATGGGGTTTTTTAAAGATTTTAAAGGTTCTAATAAATCATTAAAATCACTTAGCACATATATACAAGGAAAAGTTTGAAAAAATGGTCTGATAGAAGTGTCATTCTTTTGTACATCTGTAGCCAGAAAAATCTTTGTAGGTGAACAAGAACTATTATTTTTTTCTTTTATATGCTTAAAATCTTCTTGAAGACTTTTGATAAGTTTTTGTACCGTTTGATTTTTGTTTATTTCAAATCTGCTATCACCTATTCTTGCATGTGCACCAATAAAATTATCAGTCCCACCAATTTTATCGATAATATCATTGACAATGTTAATTATCATTAAATTATTTATTAACATCTTATGTTTTAACTGGCTCCAAAATTTTTGATTTTCAGGTAATTGAGCAATAATCTTTACTTCAGCAAATAAGCTTCCAAAATGTAATAATTTTTCATTCCTATTTTTTAAATCGATCAGATTTACGCGTTCTTGTAAATAACCAAGTTCTGTTGTTGATGTAGGGTCATCATAATATTGTTGCTGACGACTATTAATTATTTTATACACTTCCGCGTTATTATTAATGTGAAGTGATTCTATCAATTGTGTGAAATTAAAATCTTGACGATGGATGTACTTTATGTTTTGTTTTACAAATGTAAAGTCCATAAGTTCTTCCCAATTCCACTTGGTATAAGTTACTTTCTTTTTGCGAAGTTTACCGGATGTAATAAGCACGTTTAAATCTTTATACATGCTATCATAAGACTTTGATGTTATTGGTGCAGCTCCTTTAAACAACAGAAGATGTGGAATTATTAAAGTTCTATTCAAATACCATGCCAAAAATATGGCATATTCTAATTCCATTCTTTGATTATTAAAACCACTATGTGGAAGGTAGGTTAAATACTTTTCTTGATGAATTATCGATAAATTATTATTTAATTTCCAAAATGAACTATAAGAAATAAGTAAAACGCTTATAATAATTAAATAAACTACATATCGTTTACGTTGGTGTTGTAAAAAACAATAACGCAAAATTAGGTTGATAAAATTATCGTGAAATAACATAACCATTGTATTAAACTTTTAAATTCTTAGTTAAGATTCTCATTACATTTTTATAATTTTAATTCATATAACGAGGAAATTCCTTTCAATGGTCCGTGCAACAATCAAAAAACACTTTTTTTTAATTATATGATTTAATGTGTACAATTTGTTGTATAACAAAAGAAATCGGAATAAAAGTTAAGAAATATAAGTTAGGTGAACGATGTTACACGAAAGTTACCTCATTTTAACGCATACAAATTCATGGTCAACAGCAGGTACGTACAGTCAGACAACAGGAGGAAACGTTGAAACGTCACAAAATCGTTACACAATTGATAAAAATTTTTTTAATATTATTTTACAATACTTTTTTGGAAGGCTCGCTTAACTTATCTTTTATATGAATATTGAAAATTTTTAAACAAACATGAAGCTCTCACTTTGCTTTACAACATATTTTTTTAATCCACTTGAATCAACGGTTTCGTCTTTTTGTAAATTTCGCAATTTGATTGGTTGACTAATCCCGTAGTGATATTTGACTGGTCGATAC